GCTTACAGGTGTGACTCTCCAAAGACGAAAGACGAGCTTTAGCTCTTCTCTTACCTTGTAGCAAGGATGGTACACATAGGTAGGTCTCTCTGACCTCTGACTGATCCAGGTTCATCCTGCTCTGTCTCTTCTACTCTTGTCTGATTTCCTGATTTCCAATTGCTCCTTTATGGTACCAGTGGCCACACAGAGGTCACTGGGTACTTGAAATGTAGTTAGTCCAAACTTAGACATGCTTCAAATGTATTTGATATCTCTGATTTAACGGCTGTGCTGGATAGTTTTATGTCAGCTTGACACAAGCTAAAGTCATCTGAGAGGAAGGAACCTCAATTAAGAAAATGCCTCCTTAAGATTCGACTGTAAGCAGGCCTGTGGGGGCATTTTCTTAGTGATTGATGGAGGAGGACCCAGGCCATTGTGGGTGGTGTCATCCCTGGCCTGATGGTCCTGGGTTCTATAAGAAAGTAGGCTGCAGCAGCATCAAAAAAAAAAAAAAAAAAAAAAAAAAAAGTAGGCTGAGCAAGCGAAGGTAAGCAAGCCAGTAAGCAGCGCCCTCCACAGCCTCTACATCAGCTCCTGCCTCCAGGTTCCTGTCCTGCTTGAGTTGCTGTCCTCACTTCTTTCAGTGATGAACAGTGACGTGGAAGTGTGAGCCAAACAAACCCTTTCCCTCAAACTTGTTTTTTGGTCATGGTGTTTTATTACAGCAATAGAAACTCTAACTAATAAAAGGCTTTCCGGTTGTTTTTTCCTTCCTTCCTTCCTTCCTTCCTTCCTTCCTTCCTTCCTTCCTTCCTTTCTTCCTTCCTTCCTTTCTTTTTTTCTTTTTAATGGCTCAAGAAAAGAAACATCTTGGCATGGAGATGTGGCTGAGGACAGAGCACCCACCTGGCCACCCTGGGTTGTTAGGTGTTGAGTTGATTTTGTGTTGAAATGATGATAGTTTGGGTAGATTGGGTTGAATGAAATAGCCAATCTTTTCCTGTTTCTTTTAAAATAGGCAGTTAGAAAGTTTTAAAATATGCATGTAGCCTGTCTGTGTGGCCTGAATCCCATCCTTGGGGATGGGAGGGGCACGGTTCTGGTCTAGACACTGGGATGAGCTGTGATGAAAGTACCTTCAGCTCAGCAGAGAACTCAGGCTGTGAGGTGCAGAGGAGCCACCCAACCTCAGCCTCCATCCTGACCCAGCCTCCACCCTGACCACCAGACCTGGTGAGGGAGAACAGTGGAACCACTGTTAGCCGGAGAAGATGTAACTGGGAACACAGCTGAACTCCGCTCCCGTGCCTCACCCAGAACCCCTGTCTGGGGAGTGCTGACTGGCTGAAGGATGCAGATGCAGACGCAGTATGGGAGGTGATCCAAACAAAAGATTTTATCTTGTTTTTCGGTTCTTTGAGACAGCATCATACTATGTAGCTCAGCTACCTGGAACTCACGGTGTAGACCAGGTGGTGACCCTGCTTGTGCCCTCTGCCTGGCCTGGCCACCTGTCTGCCAGCTGCCACACTCCTCACACCTTTGGGGCCAGTGATGGGGCACATCAAACCAGCTGGGAACTGAGAAGGGGTCAAGCAGGGAGATGGAGGACCTGAGAGACAGGAGCTGTGGAGAAAGTTAAAAATAGAATGATCCAGCCCAGAGCAAGGGCGTGGGGCAAGCCTGGGCTGTGGTGGGAGACTGACAGGTCTGTGATGACCCATGCCTCTCTTCAGTGCACTGAATGGAAAGGAGCTGCTATCGCCTCCAGAGATGTGTCACTTAGATATCCTGTATCCAGGCTCTGAGAGGCTGGAGCACAGGGAACTGGCAGGAGTCTAGGTCGGATGTGGCCTTGCACCCTACTTCTGCTTATGAACCCAGGTGGCTACAGTGCTGGACCAGGGCCAGTTCCTGCGTCCACATGCCTGGTCTTCCCTCTTTATTTTTCCCCTCCCCTAACTCCTCCCTCCAGTCTCTCCTCTCTCACAGTGGATCTCTCCAGTGGCTCTGCTCTCCAGGCCCTTTCCCCACACTGCCTCCAGAGTGGAAATACAGCAGTGGGTTCCCAGAGTGGGACACGGCAGTGGTTCCAGGTTCATACTTGGCCCTTTGGCCAGTGATGGTCCCATTCATCCAGTGTCACCCAGCCAGGCTCAATGGGACAGAGGTAAGTATTAGACAAGTCACAAGGCTTCTCTGGCTTCAATAATTAGGGAATTAAGTTCCAGAGTCCATGTTTCTGCCCCCACCCCCACCCCCACTGGAAACCAGAGGGGCACAGTGTCATTGTGAGGAAGGAGGGTCCAGTCTCCACCCACTGGCCATTTCCTCACAGGGAAACCACACCCCTTCCTTCTTCCCTCACTGTCCTAGGTGCTGCTGTGTCCTCTGCAGCAGGATTGTCATACTCCAGAGTTTGTGTAGAGAGGATTGATTGACTCGGAATGGTCACTTACAGAGAGGAGAGACACGGGTTGGTGTGAGCTCCATGGAAGCCCAGAATGTGATCTTTAATCTTTAATGTGGGCCCCTGGCCCTGCCTCCCGACCCCAGCCCAGATGACATATTTACAGGATGTGTGGGGTCCCAGGTCCAGGCTAGGTGAATGCAGCCCCCTCCCCCATTCCTTCCTGGGTACTGCCAGACCAGGCCCTTCGGGTTGGGGCAGGGGGATGCAGAAAGTCAGGGACCAGGGTGGACTGGTCATGGGAAGTCTGTGTTCATGTTCCCACCGAGGACACGTGGACACATGTGGTCATGCCCTTGTATGCAGAGGCCTTCACAGTGGTGCAGAGGTGTAGATCCACATGTCTGCGCCAGGTGCGCTGTCACCTGTGTGCAGGTATGTCACCTAACAGAGGTCTCAAGGTATTCTAGCAACAATGCAAAATCCAGCCTTTTCCCTATCCTCAGCTAGTGGGACTGGTGGCCTGAGTCTGTCTTGTTATCACTAGGACAGTGCCAGCTGGGGCTCAGTGCTGAGGATCCCATTGCAGCCAACACCATCTGGCCATTCCAAAGACTGCCAATGGGTCCTAGGCTCCAGGGTGCCGCTGGGGGTGGTTTAGAGAAATAAAGCCATTTTTTTTTTCCTGTGAGCCTTTCTCAAAGAGGCCTCAGAAATAGAATGAACACAAATGGGCAACTCTCTGGCCCTGAAGTATCCAGAGCCACTACTTAGCCTGAGTGGGGTGTCCCCAAGAAGGGGTTTCTTTCTTTTGTGGCTTTCATCCATAAGGGAGCCTGCTCAGTCCTGCCTGGCCAGCTGGCTTTAAGGGCAAGGGGCCAGAGCTCATCTGTCCCACACAGAGTCCTGAAGGCAGGCCTCAGCAGCCTGCGTGGGAGGGCCGAGCAGTTCTGCCAGCCTTGGCCCAGCTCTCAGGCTGGGCTGCAGTGAGGACCAGTGGAAGGCAGACAGAGGAACATCTGTAAACTTACTACTCAGCCCCGAATGCGGGTGATGAATAAAGGTTTTGATGGGGGGCCTTGAGGACTTTCCTCTAAGCCTATAATCAACTGTGAGGCTTGCCCTTTCCTGATGTCTCTTACACATAGGGCACCTGATCTCCCTGGTTCTCCCTACCTAGAGGCCTCCCTGGGAGGGTAGCCTGCTCTGGAATAGCCAGCCACATCAGGGGGCACTTGAACCCTGAGACAGCCCCAGAATCACCCTTCTTGAAAGGGGAAAGGTGCCATTTTATTTTAGGGACTATATTTTCTACACCCCCAAATGCATGCACCCTGGCAGGGACAGGACAGTTGGTTTGGAATCTAAGACAGTCCGGGACAGAGGGCCATGGCACCCATGAGCTAGGCAGTGGGCACAGGACAGGCAGCTTTGGTTTTGATCAGCACTCAACTTCTAAGCTGGGTGGAGGTGGGGCACACAGGGCTGCTCAGCCCCTGCTGGGTTCAGTGACAGGGTTCCAGTGTCGGCCTCCCAGAGAGGGATCTGAGAGGTCTCAAGGCCTCAGGCCTTCCAGGCCCTCCTGTGTCAAAAAATCCCTACAACTTTCCCCTGGCCCCAGCAACCCCAAGGTTACATTCATCAGTTAAGAGTCATTTAAAAAAGAAAGAAAGAAAAGAGAAAAAACAAAACAAAACAAAACCGTGTAGATCAGCTCCTTCCCATGAGATCCCAGAGAGCTACCACCCTGCTTCCAGCTGCCTGGTTTTAAAGAGGGCCCCCCCAGCTGTGTCCACTGGTGGCTACCTGCCCCACCAGGCACCTCTCCAGGCCCCAACCTGAGCTGTGGCGGTCTGTGATGATGGAAGCTACATTCACAGGGGGAGATGTGTGCAAGGCCAAAGACGCATGAGGTGGGGTAGGGAACTGGGCAGGAAGTGCCCTCCTCCAGGCCCCTCCACCCAGGTGGTCTGAAAGATGAGGCCACAGCCCCAACCCCCAACCCCTGTGCAGCCAGGAGTTGAAGGGTTTGGACCTGGAAGACATTTGCATGGTGCCTCCCTCTGTGGCAGGGTGGAGGCAGCCTCGTGGTTCAGGGCCGAGACGGTGGGTGCCAGGCTCGGAGGGTGCAGGGTGGCACTTAGGCCCCTCCGGACCTGGAATGGAGAGAGGGCATCAGGAGAGGGCATGCGGCTGGGCCCTGAGGGAGAGCCCTCCAGCTGCCCCCCCTCCCCAGAGGTCCTGGAGGCATCTAGTCACAGGCTGGCCAGGAGGGGGGTCTGGCAGAGGTCAGACAGCGGTGACATGGTAGACAAAACAGATGGGACAGGACGCAGAGGGAGGCCCCCTCCTGGGGGCAGGGGTTGCAGGGCACAGTTCCAGCGCCCACCCGGCCATGGGACCCGGCTGTAGAAAGGACAGCTGAAGGCGGAGCAGGGCCCAACAGGCGGGTGGGCAGGAGGAAGGGCCAGAGCGCAGGCTGAGGACGCTTCCCAGGCTGCCTGCGGGGCTGCGGGAATCGGATCATCCCAGCTCCAGGTCAACAGAATGCAAGGGGACGAATGAAATGGAGACAAGGACAGCGGGAGGGATGACGTGGCCGGCATCACACTGCCCCCTGCTGGGTCGGGTCATACCTTCCACGACGGATGTTTCTTCAGTAGCCAAAGAGAGCACAGGGGCGGGCGGGGAGGGGGAGGAAGAGAGAAAGAGACAGAGGAAAAGGAGTTGTGTAAATTTCCTGTTCTTTGAAGGAATGGCCTTCTATTCCAGGAAGACCTTCTGCCCCACAAATGGACCATGGAGATCTACCCCAGACTGGTGGAGGGTTCAAATCCTGGCTCTGCCACTAAGTCACCCCATGTCCTTGGGCCTCAGAGCTCTTCAAGTGTCCAGTATGGAGTCTAGACCAGACCCTAACTGCAATGTCCTGGAGTTCATGGGCTAAATGTGGATAGGGACTGGGAGACATCTCAGGCGGGCCCTACCCACCTCTACCCTGGCAGTGCTGGGATGTACTGAGCCCAACCTCCAGTTAGTTTTCAAGAGGCTGGAAGTCAAGGCAGTTACTGTTAAATCTGCTGTTTAAATATGAGCAGGGAATTGTTTTAAATGTGGAAACAAGACCCTGTGTGAGTTTTGGGTAAGCTAACCTGTCAGGGAGGCCATCTGGAGTGCTGAAACCCCCCAACACCTGGAGGGAAATCTAGGGAGTATGTGTCTCTTACTTAAATCCCCAGCCCGTGCCGCCCAGGACGATGGCTGCGACCAGGACAGCCCCGGCGATGGAGCCAATGATGATGTTGGTACCGCTGGGACCTGGGGAGGAGGGCAGGGCTTGGTTGGTAGGGACAGGCATGGAAAACGGGCAACACAGGCCACCCCGACCAACTTCAGCCTTACCTTTGTATCTCTCAGTCTCCCCAGTGGGAGGGGACGTTGGCAGGGGGTTATGGATGCTGCAGTCTTTGCCTGTCCAGTCTGGCTGGCAAATGCACTTCCCTTCATTGCTGCAAACCTACAGGTGAGGTGGGGCCAGCACAGGTAAGCAAAGCCATGCCCCTGTGTGAGCCTCCTCCAGCGTGCTACCCCTGGCCTCCAGATACCCACCCCATGGTGGGAGCAGATCCGGCGTTCCCCACTGCCCGGGCAGGTGCTGAAGTTGAAGGCAGAGGCTGGCAGGCAACGGTGACCTAGGCACAGCATGTTGGGCCCACAGGCTGTGCCGTCCTCTACATAGCTCAGGTCTGAGCCATCAGCTAGCTGCACGTGGCCTCCCCTGGAGAGATGGAATAGCCGGCCTCAGTCCCAGTTCTCCTGTCCCCATCACATTTCGTCTTCCCCAGCCACGGTCCCCGACAACACCTGCAGTCCAACTCCTTGCCCTGGTGGTAGAAGGTGACACTGCTGATGTCTCCCCCCAGGTCCCCTAGCCGAGGAGCTCCAGAGATGTTGACACATAGGAGGAAGCCACAGAGCACATCCCTGTTGGGACACATGGGGACAATGAGCCCAAATTCTTCCTCAGACCCAAGTACTGAACCTGCCCCCCGCCCCCCGCCCCCCAGACTTCACGGGCTCTTCCTAGAGCCTGCTGCCTTCACCCTGCAGATTGCCTGAGCCCAGAGGCCCGATGCCCAGCACTTACTGCTTATTGCACTGGACCCAGCCGGATCCCTTGCGCCCGCAGTTCCCACGCTCTGTCCCCTCCACATTCAGCTTCTCATAGCAGAAACGATCTGCAGCCCCTAGAGAGAGGCGGGGCGGGGGCGGGGCATCATTCCTCGGACTCCTGGGTCTCTTTTAGAGCCTCACCTCAAATACTCTGCTCGATCCCTGGGCTGGATGCCCAAAGTCCTCAGGAGCCACACATCAGTGCAGAGCATGTTCAACTAAAAGCAGTCCCAGCTTAGCTCTCAATTCTAGGTTTTCCCCAGCCTCTGTTCTCCATCCCCAGCTGGACTCACCATGGCCCCAAAGGGCTTGGCACTGCCGGTCCCGGGTTTTACAGCGGCCTCCATAGCAACGGCCCTGTGACCCATAGGAGACAAAGCATGAAGACACTGAAGGATCTGAGTGGAGAAACTGCACAGAGTTCAGACAGGAGGACCCCCCCATCCCTCATACCTGCTCATGATCACAGTAGTAACCATCCAGTTTGTGAAGGTTGGGGGGACACTGTAGAGAGAGGGGCTGGCTGAGCAGAGTCGCCCAGGCCTGAGCGGAGGTACCAGGGGGAAGAATGTAGGAAGAAAATTCTTCCCAAAGGGGCCTGGTGTTCCATGGCTCTTCCACACCAAGGACAGGGGCCTATTTGGCTCTGGGGATTTGATTGATAAATCCCTAAGCTTTTCTGGGCTTCCTCGGTGTCTTGCTCCCATTAGACTGGAGGCCTGAGATCTAATTAACCAATGTTACTATCCACCAGATCTCTACCATACACTTGACACCGGCGCTAGGCAGTAGGAGTACCAGCCTGACTACAAATGCTTGTTCAATGTCTGAAGGAACAGAGCTAGGAGGCTTAATTCTTCCCAAAGGGGCCTGGTGTTCCATGGCTCTTCCACACCAAGGACAGGGGCCTATTTGGCTCTGGGGATTTGATTGATAAATCCCTAAGCTTTTCTGGGCTTCCTCGGTGTCTTGCTCCCATTAGACTGGAGGCCTGAGATCTAATTAACCAATGTTACTATCCACCAGATCTCTACCATACACTTGACACCGGCGCTAGGCAGTAGGAGTACCAGCCTGACTACAAATGCTTGTTCAATGTCTGAAGGAACAGAGCTAGGAGGCTTGAAGGACCCCATTCTCTCAGAGAAAAAAAAAAAAAAAAAAAAAAAAGCTGAGGCTGGTTAGCGGTGGTGTGGCCAGCTGCTAAGCAGCAAGGGGCTCTTCAGATCCAAACTTATAGGGGAAGGGGCTGTCTTGCTTGAGCCTCCACAGGACAGCCCGTTTGGCAGACCTGGCTTGAGTCGCCGGTGCAGGTCTCAGCGATGTCACACTCATTCACCGCTTCTCGGCAGGAGACACCTCGTGGCTCGTACTAGGAAAAGCATGCATGCGTTTCTGGAAAGGATAAATATCTCGCCGCTGCCCACCCCGAGTATCCATCCTACTGTCCTGGAACCTGACTCTCAAGGCCAGTTTCTTATTTCCTGTCCCTCTTGGCCCTCAACATCTAAGAGTAATTCCCCACATCACTCCCCTTTCCCGGCCTCCGGCTCTAACCCCCTCCTCCCATCCCCGCCCCATTGATACTCCTTTTGGACAGGCCATGTCCACACCTATAATCCTCTCCTCCTCCCTCCCGCCTCTTGTCGAGGGCATCCAATCGTTTCTTTGCTCCTGGCCGCGCCCTCCCTCCTCCCTCGCTCGTTGGGTCCTTCTCACCTTGCAACGGCGACAGCAGAGCCCATCGCTGCACATGGCGTCGTGAGTCAGGGTGCATTTCTTGCAGCAGTTGCCACCCGCCCGGCTGCACTCCTGAGAGTAGCGGGGGGAAGTAGAAAGGCGGGCGAGCCCTGATCCTCGATCTGGCTCCCCACTCAGTACTCTCCCTTCCGAGCCCGGGCCCACACCGGAGACCAACCGTACCACTCACCTGCACCGAACCGCAGTCGCACTCCTCCCCCGCCTCCACGAAGCCGTTCCCGCACTCGGGAGGGTCCAGGAGCTGGAGCGGGAGAGGATGTCGGGAGCCTGGCTGGGACCCTGCCCACCCCGCTTCCCGGTTCTCCCCGCTGGTACCTTGAGGGGCTTGTTGAACAGGCAGCTCCCACCTCCCTCCTGCAGAAACTGGTTGTATTCGTCGATGCTGCAACGCGAGAACTTGCGGGGCAAGTAGAACCTGGGCAGGCGTGAAGGGACTTTGCTGCTGGGGGCGGCCCTGCAGCCCTCCCTCGGGAGAGTTGGTTACCACTACAAGGAGGCTGAGGAAATGCCCGTGATTGCACGACAGTCAATCCCACATGCCCATCTAGGAATGGGTGGAGAACATCACTTGCGTTCGCTTCACTGAACCTCGGGGACAAAGAGCCCAGTGTTGGAACGCTCTGGAGGGACCGCAGCTCGCACTAGGCTCGGGCGCCTCCCAGTGGCCAGAGAGCATGCTTCAGTCTAGCCAATTTGGGTGTCCTAGCCTCCGGGCACGGTTTGCCCATAACCTGTATTCTTGGAATCCTGGGTGGTCCCATGAGCAGGGCCTCCTGAAGCCAGCCAGAGGGCCAGTGCTACCCCAAACTCTTCCCCAAGTCTGTCCCAGAGAACTCACCCAGTGTCCTCCATGATACAGCCCAGCCAGATGTCTGGACACTTGCAGTCCCCTAAGAGGCAATTTGGGAACACATGAGATAGGGTGGAGGAGTACCCCCCACACTGACCCCCCTCTTCCCTTCTTTAGGTGATGGTTGGATCTGAGACGGCTGTGGGCTTCAGGGTTGGTACCTGCCGAGCTCCGGTGTTTATTCCACATCATGCCCAAGTTCTGCCCTAGTGTCTGGGCCAGGGTCACCGCCATAGCACCCATGTTGCCATACTAGGGGCGGGAAGATGGAACTCAGGATGTCTTACTCCTTCCAATAGCCATTGTGTCTTAGCAAGCTGCCCCTGTGGCCTCCCACCACGGCCCTCTATGCTCACCTCGTTCACACCTCCACCCCGGGACAGTGAGCAGATGCCCCCTACGTAGGCTGCCCCACTGCTGGTGCTCTGGAAGGTTCTACCCCTAGAAGGGAGACAGTTGTCAGGATGATTTCGCAGAAGCAGCAGTGGGTTCTAGCCCATCACATCGGCCTGGTGACCTCAGGCCAGCCCCTCACCTGTTTGGGTTCACTGGCCCATAAGCCAAACCAGAGGTTTGAGAGCCTTGAATTGTGTTTGTCCTGTGCTAGGGTACTGGGTCACTGAGGTAGGGATATGGGCAGTTTGGCAAGGGAAAGGAAAAGAGCACATCTCCTGCACAACCTAAGGTGCAGAGGACACCCAGCTGGTGTGTGTGGCTGGGAGCAGGTGGCAGGTGCCAGGCGAGCCCCACCGGCAGACACCGACTCTGGAAATGGCTTCTGGCAAAGGCAGTAAGAACAAGCAGCCAGCAAAAGCTGGCAGGGTGTAGTGTGGGGACTCACGAGAAGAGGTGGGTGGCATCACTGGGCTCAGGTAGACCCTCCCTCCGGTAGACCATAAGCCGGGCCAGGGTCTCCAGTAGGTCATCCTGCACCTGGATCTTGTCCCCATCTGCCCATGTTTCCATGGCAACCAGCACAATTCTTGTGTTGAGCTGCTCCTTGTATATCTGGGCTCAGAGAGAAGATGGGGGGGGAGTGGAGGGAAGCTGCAATCTATTTTTCTTAGAAATGGGGCTCAGTGGCTGACAATGACCCCTGGATGCCTGGATAGGAAGAGGGAGAGGGGAGTAGGGGCGCTGCTCACCACATCCGCCAGGTTCACAACAGACTTTGCAAAGTTGCTGGTGAGGACCACTGACTGCCTCATCTGCTCGAACTGCCGGGAAGAGGTGAGGAAGAAGGGCCAGGCTCTCCTGGGCCGCTCCTCCCAGAGTCCCCCTCAGCCTGGGAACTTACCAGCTGGTGGTCGTTGATCACAATCAATTCTACATACTTGGTCTCACTGTGCACTGTGGGGTGGCCCCTGCGTACCTGGAGGGTGGGTGGGCACTTGGAATCAGTCCCTTCCATGTCTGGGCTCATGGCCAAACCATGGGCAGACTTGTTGGGAGGGAATATTCTGACCTCCAGCCCCCCAACTAGCAAAAAGTGCCATCTCTCCCAGCCTAGAAATGAGAGCAGAGGGCATGCAGTGTCTGAGGGCCCCAAAAACGGGGACCTGTATAGACACCAGTGCTAAGGAGGAGTTGAGGGGCCCTTCGGGGAGGTAGTTCCCTGGCTCCTGACCTCATCACTCTGAGCTCTTCTTTGCTCAGACATAGGTGGGGATGACCTGCCCTGGACCACAGTCTAAGGTCTCTGCAGCCCGAGGCTATGCGGGCCCCCGTACCTGCCTTTTCCTTCTCAGCCTGGGCCAGGTGGGAGGAGCAGATTGGGCAGGGACAGCAAACAGGCAGCCTGTGGGGAGCAGTAGGTAAGAGGGGCCCAGCTGGCTAACCCCTCCCCCCTCCCCCTCCCTTACCTGGTTCCCTGCATCCGAGGGGGGCTGGGAGGAGAGGGGTCCGGTAAATGAGGTGGGGAAGGGGTCCCTGCAATGAGGGGAATGAGTTCTTGGGGAGCCAACCAGGTCTGCTCTGGGCCCAGATTGGAGGTAGCTCCAGCCCTTCCCCCACCCCACCCCACCCTAGGGTGACCCGGAACTGGCCAGAGCTCCCATGTCGGATCTGATCTCCCAGATGCTCAGATTCCAGGGTCAAGACCTGGGGGGTGCCCTGAGAGATGGGGGCAAAGGACACTGGAGCCCAGTGAGAGGTCACTTGGGGGACAGAGAGGACATTGGAGATGGGGGCACAGGAGACAGGAACCAAAGCTGGGGTCACCCAGGGCAGTGAGGCTGAGGTTACTGCAGGAAAGGAGGAGGTGCCACAGCTGTTTCGGGGTAGTCACAGCATGGCCATCGGGAGGTCAGAAAGGCCTGTGCGGGCCTTGCTTACCTGTGGGGGTCCCCAAGGCCCAGCCATCTCCTTGGGCTCTATGATGTAAGTCAGGTTCCCATCAGAGAAGACCCCACTGTGGAGAGAGGCAAGGTTCCCCACCATCCTGGGCAGGCAGAGTCCTTCCCCCCACTGTTCAATAAACACACCCCCCCCCACCC